ACCTGTCAGATGCGGGGAATCATGACAACTACTATAAAAAAGACTTCGGACTAGGTGCGTTCTACATAGTCGCCCTGACAACAAGACCAAGTTGTGACAATGAGGTCAACCCAATTCTAAGGTCAAGCTCTTTACCACATTTCACCTAACCACCCTCTATCCTGGTACATTTTCCTGTCAAAATAGGGCTGTATCCTCTTGTCAACACTTCCCTCATGTGGAGAGGAATAATAGTTGGGTCTCGAAAACTGGTTCTACTGCGAAGACCAGGTCGGCTGTAAGGTATTCGACAGTTAGGCCCAATCAACCCCGAAGGAGGATTGTGTGAAGATGTCCTCGGCTCACTGTCTTGCGACCTCGATGACTCTGTTCCGGCATGGCATAGATCTTCATAGCTGGATGATATCATTTAGCATTATTGTTCTGATCTCCTCCAGATGTTTGCCTTCTTGATCAGATACTCTTCACTCAAGTATTAGCAAGAACTAGGCCAGAAGGTGATTAAGCTTTGGTAAACTTGCTTAAGGTTTGCGCTTCTGGAGAATAACGGAATATCAAAGAGAAAAGTTATGTGCGCGTATGAGTGAGAATTGATGATACAGCTGTAGAGGATAAGTAAATGATGTATCAGAAAAAAATATTGAAATTTAGCACATCCATTTAGCAGAAATTCGGTTGAGCAATTGAATTTGCTTCTTTTTCTGACAATTTGTAGCTCGCTGACCAACGATTCCGACCCCGATGTGTCTAAAAATCTATCTATGCAATGTTCCGATGCCGGAAAGAATCACAACTAGGGCAGAGGAGGCTGAACGGGTAACCTTCCTCGAAATCATCCGGACACCATGATCAAGGTCGAACATGAGGTCATATGCAATGCCTCAAATCAATTATTTATCTCATTTCATAGTAAGGCCGGACATTCATAGCCTAAGTTCACAAATTTCTCTCTATGTGAAGAAAAATTGAGGGCGACTAATGCTCTTAAAATAAAAAAATAAACCTTGCGTCTTGCTCATCTAATGCTAATCATGGACAAATGAAAATACATGCTGACAATTAGCTTTTCTAAGATACTATTGCATTCACACCGAATTAAGGGTAGAGCAGGTTTAATTGCAATCTTGCCTGAACATTTTTAATGAGCAGAAAAGTTGGGTTTTAAGGAATACCTTGGTTCATAATTGTTGATTTCACTCCCATTTCGAGCTAAAGTGTGTTATAAAGATATTTAAAAGTCTATCACACAAGAAGACGACGGCGGGTTCCCCTTTGCCAGCAAAGACTGCTGGTTTCTTACATATACTTACATATGAAGACACATAGACACCCACGAACAGACACACGCACAAATATATATATATATATATATATA